CCGGGTTTCCTCGAGGTCGGGTCTGCATTGACCACATCTTCACCTTGCGTCAATTGTTGGAGCACCGCGGTGTTTATTCTTGACCCACTGTTGTCCTCTAACTTGATATAGAACTGTCTTTGACGCACTTGATCGATGTGCTCTTTGGAACTGTCCACTGAGGAAAGGTGTGCCTGATAACTACGTAAACATTATCAAATCACTGTACGCGCATATTTTAATCAGAGTGAGGGTTTATGGCAAACTGTCGTCACCGTTCAGTATCACCAGCGGTGTGAGACAAAGTTGTCAGCCGTCACCTTTCCTCTTCAACTTCGGTATTGATGAAGTAATGGGAACAGCTTTCGCTAGACACGACCTAGAAGGTGTGGAGCTAATTCCTGATGAGCGACATCTTGAGTTGGATTATGCGGACGATATTGTCCTTATTTGTGACAGCTCCTAAATATGTCAAGCAGTACTGAACCGATTAGCACTGGCTGTCAACCGTTTTGGGCTATGCTTTGCTCCATCGAAATGCAAAATATTTCTTCAAGTTTGGTAGGGACTCACGGCTGTGCTAACGATTCCTGGTGATCAGCGTGAAGTCGTTCAGGAATTCAAGTGCCTGTGCAGTTATATTAGCGCCCGAAGGAAGGAAGATGAGGTTACGAACGCTATAGCAAAAGCTCGAGGTTCTTTTGCCAATCTCCGCCACCTGTGGCACAGAAGCGACATCACTCGTCCTTAAGGGCAGAGATTACAACGCAACCGTCTGTTCAAGTCTCGCATATGGTTGTGAAACCTGGCCCATCTGGTCGACAGACGTAAAGAGGTTAGTCAACTTCGATCTTCCCTGCCTTCAAGGAATAGCGCTTGTCTGGTGGGCGCACCGCGTGAACAATGAGTTTGTTCACGTCGCGTATTTGGTGTAGGAAGAGGGAGTGAAGCGCTCAGCACCATTATATCACGTACCAGGCTCCGATGGGTGGGCCAGGTGTTGCGCGTGCCAGCTCACCGACTCCTGCATCATGCATTGTTTGCGTGCCCGGGGGTGCGGTTGGAGTCGGAGGAAACGAGGCCAAGCGATGACTTGGTCGAGAGGAATGAAAACCTCCACTTCGAATTTCTCGTCGGTTATTATTTCCCGACTGAGTGGCAGGGGTCCTACAGACGATGAACACGTTTGGTTGGACACACTTACTGAAATAGCTAGGAGACGGCTCCAATTTCTTTTGCGTTTTGGGTATCTTTGTTCATCCTCCGCCCATTTGTTTCCCCCTCCAATCCCGATCTTATGGAGTACGAATAATATTATATTTAAGGTCATATTTTTCGTAGTGTAATTTGTTTAATTGGTGGTGCAACTTGTTAGTCTCTTCTTTTTTATTGCCACACATTGGCTGAGGTGGGTTTCTCACCCTTAGCTAAGGTCACTAATAATGATGATGACAGTACCACCTCTATCATGGCCGGTTAATATAGTGGCTCCATCAGATGCTGAGTTTCAAAACGCGATCACAGTTTTTAATTTCTTTCGTGTTGCTGAACTGGGATCCAGCTTAACCGCACTACATAAGCATGATGAGGATGTCTGCTGCGAAGCACTCACCTACTTTTCTAACAGGTCTGGAAAAAAGAGACCATGCGAGCTAATTTGGACGGATCGATTATAGTGACAATATCCAATAACTGTAGTCGCGCCGTCTTTGCTGACCCAGGGGCATTAGCCTAACCCCAGTGGTGATACAATTACTAGCCTCAGTTCTAATTCATCGCCTCACTGCGGAAAGCGAATCCCATACTAAGGAAGAGCAAGCAGATTTCCGCCTATAATGGGGCTGTGTAGACCACAGGTATACTCTGCAGCGGGTGCTAGAACGGCGTCAAATGTATCGCAGTACGGCATTAGCTGTCTTCCTGGACTTCAAGATTGCGCTCGATTAGATCTATTGATCAATTCTGTATGAAACAGTTGGCGGCAAGTTGTTCCCATGTGAACAATTATCGTGCTCTGTACTTGAACACCACAGGCCGCGTCAGGTCTTACGGCTACTTGTTGGATGTGTTTTAACAAGCAGGTGTTTTCCGTCACGGCTGGGCTCACTCATTATATTTGTTTACTTTTGTCGTTTAGTCCTACACGTTAAGATGCTGGTTGGTGTAAGGCTAGTGTACCTTGGTCAAGCGGAAGATCTTTTCATGCAGTTTAACATTTTGGGTCTGCACAGTCAACCTAGAATAGTCTTTCTAGTGTGGTCCCACCATTTGGTTTGCGCTTTGCACTTTCAAATTACGAGGTGTTGTTGTAAGACAACCAGTCAATTGATGATTCCCTCAACCTTGGTGGCCAGGCACTCGAGATAGTTGATCCATTTACTTGCGTTTTCAGCCACATTAACAAACATGGGCACACAACTATTGAAGGTAATCCAAGCATTGCAAAAGCTAGAACAGCCTTATATATTCTGCGGCTTCTGTGCCGTCAGAAAGGGCTTTCTTTTGGTCTGAAATGTTGCGTTTACAAGACCACAATGAGGATCGTTGTAAGCTATTGTGGTGAGATCGCGCCCCTTTGATTTGAGGATCTGAGGTGTCTTCACTTCTTTGATCATCGTTCTCTGCGAAGTTTTGCTGGTGTTGGTTAGCATCAGACTACCAAAAACGACAATATGCTGTGCGAGTGCTAGGGCAGGGACAATCAGGCTAGCTCCTTAGAACAACAAGTAGCACGAAATAATTTGCTTTGGCTTGGAAACGTTCTTCGCTTATCCTGGATAGCCTTGTTTTATTTGCCAAATGTACGGTGGAACAAGGCTTAAGGTGGGTAAAATTTGACATGACAGCGTGAAATAAAATCAATGACTATAAAACTATTGGCCGTTGGTCCGTTTCGCCTTTCAGTCAAGTGTCCAAGCGATCCGGCTTGCGCTTGCTTCGGTACTTGCTTCGGTTCAGTGCAGGCCTCATAGTCCATGCCAGTGAAGCGTCCTTTGTCGTCGCTTAGTCGGACGGTTTGTTTAACATATGCGGTGCAATGGCTAAATAAGGCGCGTGCCAGTAAAAGCCGCTAGGAATCTGTCTCGTCGTTGCCGCCTTGTTATTACACGATGGCTTAGTGCTTGCGTTATTTTGCCTTCGATGAAGCGTAGGCGCCTTAACCCTGCATGTTTGCTTAGGCCACTGGAGTTTTAAGCTAAGCCTCCATTTTCTCCACCTTAGTGTACATCACTCCGTCGGTCTCTGTAGCTGTACAAAGGCGAGGCTTTATTCAAATGTCTGAAGTGCAATTGCTACAGCAGCTGCCGCTGAAAGTACGGTTTGTGTCTTTAATATTAATGATGACTGAAGAAGAAGAAATGATGATGAGGATCAGGTTGATGATGGTGTTTCTGATGATGAGGACCATCCGGATACTGATGTTGGTGATAAAAATGAAGATGATAATGATGAGAGTGATGATGACAGTGCTGCTGTTGATGAAGATTATCATTATTACTATTATCATTATTATTATTACTACTACTGTGCTGAGTAATGCAGCATAATGAACATTGAAGCATATTACACTTGCACCTGTGTTCCTCCATCGTAGTTTGATCGGGCACGTGCGTGGAATCCCGGCACTAATTCCTGCGAGTTTGCAGCATATTACATCTGCACTATGTGCTTTTCGGTTGCGAAGTCAAGAGGTCGAATTCATGCTTCCTTACGTCATAGCCATCGTATTCATCAATTAGACTACAAAATTTTAGGCCGTCTGAAACCAAGTCACAAAGCGACAGAAATAGCTAATATGTTGGTTGGTGTGGGTTAGATGCAAAATAGGACCCAGCACTGGGACTTGGAGTACAGCAGTGAAGAAGGGATTTAAGTCCTTTACATGTTCATTCACCTGTACCGTCCATTTCCGTTCAGTAAGGAGTCACTGATCCATTTGTTTAGTGAGTCGCCGACATTGCACATCCTCAGCTGGTTGGGGTGGGCCTAATCGTTAAATTTGTCAAACGCTGCAGTTAACGTTGATCACAGCCACCGACTTCCCTCAGTTCAATGCTCGCAACCATTTACTCGGCGTCAACTGTCTGCAGTAGACTCACCATCTTCTCGAATATTCTGACAAAACGGAGGATAGATAAATCATCCGTTTATTGTCCAGGTTACTTAAGCTACTACAATTCAGATTCGGTTTTACTACCGATCAGTTTCAGTCTTTTCTAATTGCACCTTTGCACAGCGATCTGTGGTACATTTCATTCACTGAGAGCAAGATGAGGACCTACAACGACTTGATAATCAACAAGTAGAGCCCTTCAGGACCGGCAGTTTTCGTCTTGTCAAGACTGGCAAGTAAATTGATGATATTCTTCACCTCTCAATGCAGAGGCTAGAGTTATGTATGAGCTGTAAACGTGGAGCTTGTTATAGACGCATGTACACTTACAAGTACAGAAGCGAAAGATTAATGCAAACGCACGTCCGGTGCTGAACGTCAGCGAACTTGAACTGTTACCTCGCCTGCTGTCCTCACGTGCTTCGTGTAAACGAAAATTCGTAGTTCTCGTTGCGGTTGCAAGCTTCTTCTCGAAATACAGGCACTTTTGCGCATTGGTAATGTTACGCGGATTCCGCCGGCTCTTGTACACCGAGGGATGAAAGGAATCCTCACCATATTACGCGTCACCATCGAGACAAATGGTCATACAGTTTATGGGACCAGTGCTAAGGTTGTGTAGCATGACGCCGATGAGAACAACAATACTATTAGGAAACAGGTTTGTCCATGCCTTTCGCCTGCATTTGAATCCAATAAAGCCTCAACTAAGGTAACTTTGTAGCTAACATTTATTCCTCTGCTTCTGTTATAGAAAGGCATTTGCTAAATAGCATGTGCCTTTCCATATTTTTGTCTGTATGCGCAGAAAAATCGTGACAGCCATATTTGGCTAGTAACACATCTGATATTGCCGTAGCATTGGTTAATCAGTGAGCGACGATAGAAAATCCCCACGAATTTTATACTCAAACGCCTTTTTTGAACAATCGGACCAAGTTTGTACATAAAAATCGGTGCGAATATTAGTGTTAAAATCTAGACATTTTTGAATGCATGATAAGTTAATGTAATATTGTTGTCCTGTTGATCGCCCACGTGGGTATACTGTCCAATCCAAACAGAGGTCTTGCGAGCGTCGATACCGCCAACAAGGAAATCAAACTGCCACCGAAATTCAACACAACTCCTGCCCTGATCTAGAATTGCAAATTGAGAAATATGTATGCTGTTTCTATTTGGTATCAGCAATGAGTTGACAACAGTACAATTACTTTTGTCCGTATTTGTGCAGTGTTAAGATCAAGAATGAAGCTCCGATTGGCTATGTACAGCTGCTTATTTGGCGGAGGAATTAGACGAAGTAAACACAATGATAATTCATGTGAAGCCAGCTTTATGACGTCAATAATACGGTTGTTACAGGTGGCCTAATTTTGTTGCTTACGGTGGTAATATTTGAAAATAAACATTTACGGCTGAACAGTTAGTGGAATAACTGTCTCGGCACTACAAAAACAACCAGCGCTTGCGTAACATGCACCGTAAAAACTTATTACTATAACTGAACTCATGAAGCCGTCGTTTAAGTTAATTATCATTCTTCTCTTTACGCTTACAGAAAAATAATCGGATTACATCATAGCTAAATGCCTTTAGTTTTCTGACGTTATTATAAATCAAACTAAATGGTAATACAGTATTTGACGAACCCATCTACTTAATAGAGGCAATGTAGTTGGCGCAGATTGTCCAGATATCTAGTAAGGTTTAAGGCGATCTATGCTCACAGGGTCTGTACATCGTACCAAGCTTACCTTATGTAAAGCACAAAGATTATGTTGACGAAAATTATTGAATATCGAGTCCGTTGGCTCAAAATGTAATTCTTACAGTAAATACGTCAAACTGTGAATGTTTGTACCATATGTATGGAAAAAATCATCTAGAGTTCCTGTTGCAAGCCGTCTCAAATGTAGGAGGCTCGTGAGCCTCTAGGGTGATTAGTGATTACCAACAATCAGTAATCGCCTTATCAGCTCACCAGCCTCCTCGGATGATAGCAGCTTGCGAAGGAAGTAGTTGTCTGGGGGACCAGCGATGTCCTCTACATGTTTACAGCAAGCATGACAGTGGAAGAGGAGCCGCGCTATGTCGACGATAGTTAATAACCATGGCGGTTCTCTGCCGTCGCTCATGGCTTAGTGGCATACTTCGCTGGAACGACTGTTACTCAGGTTGTATTGCACCTATTCCACATGTTCTGCATAAAATACTTTGATTAGATGAAGTACTAAAGCAGGATTCATATTCGGTCAGCTTGCTCGATCACAAGTTAACTCGTGCTAAACTTCCTAGGAGTGAATGTTATAACAGTGGGGAGGTCTATGATAAAGCAGCAAAATGGCTAATCAAACTTTCATAGAGCGCAGCATCTCTCGCTTCGATCTTTTAGAACTTGCTAAAAGAGTAGCCAAAATAGTTCCAAAACGTGCCAAACGAAATATTTTCCCGCTTAAATTTCTTCTTCGTGCCGTGTCCTTTACAATTATGTTGTTTCGGCCAGTACAGTTTCGGTGTTCGAAAACGACTCACATCAGGTAACGCCTCGCGTTGCGCCGCTTCGCTCCGCTAAGTACTAATGCACTGAGAAGATCACCACGAGTAGTGACAATTGCAGAAAAACTGCTGAGCTCAACGAACACTTTGATCACCGACTAAACAACCTTGGCTAGCAATATTTGCTTCCATATCAAGCGACTTCCTTTTTCAGTGATTATTCAGTATTTTGTTGTATATTTGCAATGATTTATTGTGAAAAGAACACCGTGAGGTAGTAGACTCGATACTCCATAATTTTCTGCAATGGGTTCTCTCTGCTTTGCATAAGGTCAACATCATTAGACATTAGGACAACAGCGCCCACGACGTTGCCTCTATGTAAGTAAATCGGACTGTCAAGTTGTGTGTTCATGATAATTATTTCCTTGCAACACCAGATAATTTGACTTCGTTTGTACAATCACCTGCCGCCGACTATGTGGGCTTACGATGAAGTTGTGGGCGGAGTTCGGTTACAATTGTTATTAATCTTTACGGCAAAAGGCAATAGCAGTTACTATAGGCGCCATATTTCCTCCCATAATTCCTAATCTTGACACATTGCGTCAACAATGACAGTCGTATGCACTTATAAATTAAATTTTTATTACCAGACAGTAGTTTCTCCGGTAGCCTATTGCGAAATTTAATTAAACATTAGTGATTTAAAATGTGGAATCGAAAGCGTGTATAGCGGTGTTAAGCATACCATTTCATTGACTTTCACCCGTCCTTTTCCAAATACTATTGAATTCGGAGGCGTAGCAGCGGGTAAGGAGAAAGCAAACGATGTCGCTATTGTGCTCGGAATAGCAAGTGTAAACGGGTGAAGATTCAATTTACTGGCCTGTAACAGAAAGGATGAATTATCAAATTTTCGCATAAACTGCTGGAAAGCGTAAAATGACAACCATTATAATGCTGAGAAACGGAACCTAAGTAATATGCCGCAAACATAAATCGTATAAAAGAAAACTAAATAATGGGATAAGCAACTTAAAGTATTCGGGCTCAAAAACGGTATATTTTACGAAAACCTACTCAAAACCATTGCTTTTCACGTTATATGCTTTGAATATTGTCTGATTAAGTTAAATACTTATAGCTGAAAACTCTTGAAGAATCGCATAGTTTAAACTTACTGAATTACAAATGACACACAACCACTGGAGTTGCATTAGTATTTTAAAAAACGCACGCTTTAAGATGGTCGAAAAATCGCTGATTCAGTGTCTAACGGAACAGGCAAGAAAACCCGTGGCCATCTGTATTTTAGTACTAACTTCTAAAATATACCCTAGCTGTTAGACTAGCCGCTAATTTTTGGTTTCTAGAACATTATAGATAAGCTGACGAGGTACGTATGAAAGCATCGCCATTTATACCCGAGGCTTAAGATGTATCGAAAAACTTAGGCATCATCTTATCTTCGATAATGTGTAAATGCACCGACAGCTAGCTTGGAACAAAAATTAGGGTCGTATCGAGTCTAAAGTGCAATTTACGAAATTTTGTTAATCATCTGAATAATTTGAAGCAGCGTGCTGATAATTTGCGTTTCTCGAGAAAGTTCATAGACAGCTCTGCCTCAGGAGTGCCGCAGACTGTATCACCTCTTCTTTTGTCCCCCAAACCAGCTGCACCTAGCACATCATCCAAATACCTTTACTCTTCAGGAGAAACACCGGCTTCAATCATTTCATGCTCCTACTCCATTTATCCATATGATCGATGGTGTTAAACCTCCTGTGCGGATATTAAGATTGATTCGTGTCATTTTGCCGAAAATTCTTTAGTATGTATACTATGCTCCAGTGATCCGCTCGGGAAAGTTTCATAAAGCCAACCGAATGTTAAAATATCGAAAGATACCAGACCATGAGATTTTTGTTTTCTGTGTGTTTCTCTTTCCGCGCCAAACTTGACGCCTGAGGCCAAGTAAACATCACTGGACTTCTCTTACAAATGGCCTCTAATAATCAGGTCATCTGCTTGCCGACCACCTGGCTCATTTTGTTAAATTGTTCACTTCAGTCGAACATTCTTCAGCTTGGCCGCTAGCAAGATTCGATAAATGGTGGCTATCCTCAGGTTGAATTGATACCTGACTTGTATTTGGTTGTCCGCATTGATTAACTACAGAATGTAAATTTAGCTCAAGTGATGAGGATGGTTAGAGTGGATTAGGTTTCGAATTGTAGGTATATGCCATCGCGACGAGACTGGACCTTAACTTGGTGCGATGGTTTGTATGCCCCAGTGATCCACTGAGCTATGCTGGGTGGTGCTTTTTGCACCTTTAGAACCATTCATACCAGATTGGTCAATGGTTAGAAGCCAGACAAACTCAGCCTCCTGGTCCTCCAGGTTGGGCGTTGGAATGAGGGTGGCTCCTTATTTTATAAAACAGGCTCAATGTAGTCCAGTGCCCAAACCCGCTGCATTTCTGTCAGGTTTTTGAAATAAAGGTTTTGCTTGAGAACCCTAACATTCTCCTCTTTAGACCTGTGCAATCTGGCAGTATTCTGCCCACGCAATACGATGAACATTTCTTCTGAAAATTTCGTGATGCTCTGACCGTTGCAGAGGATAAACAACGGCGCCCTATCTTCTGCATCGAGCAGGGTGGATGGGGTAGGGATGCTACTGCTCAGGCCTTCCCGTCTTCTTATCCTTATTCTTGCGCTTGTTTATCCTTATCGTTCCGCTCCAAATTACTTTGATCCACCGATTTTCAATCCAAAATTCTTGCCCCTTCCACACCTTTACAGAATAGTCGTTTGTCTTCTAGTTTCAAATCACACACAGTCACACGGCATCACACCAATACAGTCGACAAGTCCATGTCCAACCAAGCGGAAAACGTCAGTTCCTCCGTTTCCTTTTAGAGTCCTCGCATCTAGTTAAGACTGGCATGCCTTAACGTGCGCACTTTGCTACACATTAGCCGACAGGCAGCACTTTCCCACACACTGGAGTCCATATCAATCGATATTTGCTATTTATCAGAAACCCGCCTGCAAGATTCGAGCTTCGTGATTAGCCTGCGATCCTACCCCCCATGCAACACTAACGGCACATTCTCATTGTGCTCGTCTGGCTATGATGCAGCTTCAAATGTTGGTCAAGGAAGCGTCGGCATTGTTTTGAGTCCCCGAGCTAAAGCTGCCCTGATCGGTTGGATCCCAGTCAACAGTCGGATGTGCGCCGATAGAATAGCTGGTTTGTTCCATGCTACGAAGTCGCGCAGGAACAAACGGTGCCAGTTTGTCATGGCGGCTTACGCCCTTACAAACTGTATCATTGATTCCGTGAAAGATGAGTTCGCTCAGCAAATTCACAATCTCCTTCGTTTCAGAAGTGGCACCGATACTATGGCGTTGGCTAGCGATCTAAATGCCCAACTCGAAAAATTGTCTCTGATGAGCTCCAGCTGGGCGGCCAACATAGTGTAGGCTCCCGTAATGATAACGGTGAGCGTTTGCTACAGCTGTGTGAAGATGCTCGTCTCTTTATCGCGAGCACAAACTTTTAACACAGCACAAGCAGAAGTGTGACTTGGCACCTATCAGCTTCGCACTAGCCATGGACGTAAATCGATCATATCGCGATCAGTTCCCGCTGGAGAGGTTGTGTCTAAAACTGTCGCTCGATTTCGAGCATAAGCGTGGACTCTGACCACGCATTTGTTTGTGCTGATCTCAGGATAAGTTACGATGGACGGGCGCAACATCGATGAAAACAGATTGACACCAGCCAGCTGGCGGACCCAGGTGTTCTGAATGTGTATCAAGGTGCGCTGACATCCGTCCAGGATCACTGGTTGCATATTCTTCAAACGTTGCTATGGGCAGGCATGTCTTCATGAGGCAAGTCAAATTTCTATACTGGACATTGGGTCTCTACCCACTCTCTGGAACTTAGAAGTAAGTAAATAAATAAATAAACAAATTTGTAACTTTACTGACAGACGGTACACGGCCCCCATATGGATGATCGCCGACTTATTCCGGCTGGAATTGATTACAATGAGGCTCGAAAATCCTCAGGGCAAAGCTGAGTGTTATCCTTAGGAGACCGCGCAGCCTGATGGTCTCATCGTACCTCGGAGAATGAAACAGCCACTATCGTTGGCAATCATAGTAACTTATGTCGTTGCTACGGCAAATAGGCAGCAGGAGACCTGGTGTTAGTGAGACCAAATGCGACGAGTGTGGGTAGCCGATTCACAGCCTGTCAAAACGCTTGCAGCGTTGGGCCGAACACTTTACAAGGCAATTTAACCAACCTAGGTTATCGCTTTCTTTTTGGGACATCGAGCTCCTCTCTCCCTGAGCCCTCTCAGTGGATCCGCCCTAACGCACAGAAGCCGAACGTGCGATCAGGCTGTTAAAATTACATAAGGCCGCAAGAGCAGATAGAATTACTTCAATCTTCTTCAAATCCGTGAGGTCTGCTCTAGTAGATGGTTTACACGAGTAGCTAATTTAACTTGGGGAGCAGGAAACTGTCCCAACCGACCAGAGCCGCTCCGTTATTGTCCCAGTTTTCAAGGGAGGCTTCCGTTCGGAAGGCGACAACCATAAAGAGATAAGTCTGATCTTAATTGCCCTAAAATTGCTTGCGTCTGTCATTCTCCACAGACTGACTGGCACCCGCCAAAGCCAGATTCGTGAAGTGAAAGAAGAAGCGAAGAAGAAAAGAGTTTCGTCGAGGTCTGGGCTGCATCGACCACATAGTCACCTCGCGCCAATTGTTGGTGCACCGCCATGTTTACTGGTGACCAACCATTTTCCTGTTTCTTGACATAATAGTGCCTTCGACTCGGTCGATCGATGTGCTCTTTGGAACTGTCTGCTGAGGAAAGATGTGTCTGATAAATAAGTAAGCCTTATCAAACCGCTCTACGCGCATATTTCGGGCGGAGTTCGAGTTTATGGCTCACTGTCGCCACCCTTCAATATCGCCAGCTGTGTGAGACAACGTTGCCCTCTGTCATGTCTCCACTTTAACACCGTTATCGATGAAGTCATGAAAACAGCATTCGCTGGACACGACCTAGAAGGTGTGGAGCTACCTCATTTTGAGCGACTTCTTGACTTGCATTATACGGACGTTATTGCCGTAATCTGTGACACCTCCCAAACAAGCCACGCTGTACTGGACCGATCAGCACTGGCTATGTATTGTGTTGGATTATGCGTTGCTCCAATACAATGCAAAATACTTCTTCAAGCTTGGTAGGAACTCGAGGCTTCGCTAAATCTTCGTGGCGATCAGCTTGAAGTCTTTCAGTAATTCCAGTACCTGTGCAGTTATATTAGCGCCCGGGGGATCGAAGGTGAACTTACGAACCGTACACCGAACGCTCGAGAGGCTTTTGCCAATCTCCGCCACCTGTGGCGCAGACGCGACATTACTCTGGCCCTGAAGGGCCGAGTTTATAACTTCTCCGTCTTATCAACTCTCCCATATGGTTGTGAAATCTTTCCCATCAGGTCGACAGACATAAAGAGGCTCGTCACCTAGGAACGTCGCTGCCTCCGCAGCTTAGTTTGTGTCTGGTGGGCGCACCGCTTAAGCAGTGAGCTTGTTCGCGTCGTGTATTTGGTGCAGGAAGAGGGAGGGAACCGCTCAGCACCATTATATCACGTACCAGGCTTCTATGGCCGGGCCATGTGTTGCGCGTGCAAGCTCACCGACTGCTGCGACGTGCAATGTTTGCGCGCCTTGTTTGCGGTTGGAAGAGGAGCAGGGGAGGCCAAGCATGTCTTGGTCGAGATAAATGAAAACACTTACTTCGAATTTGGCGTCGTTTGATGCATCTTGTCTGCGTAGCAGGGTTCC